AGTGGGGCACAAGAAAGACCCTGTAGGGCCCTTTCTTCTGCATTGCTTTGGTCTAAGACATAGTTCTTAATGCTGACTGCACCTTAGAATCACTGAAGAGCCCTCACTCCTGCTCCTCCCTAAGTAACCACCTCCCAAAACATAGTGTGTGTCCCGTGGGAGATAATCTGAGGGAATAGACCCATGTGAAAAGATTATCAGTGAACATAATAGTGCTTCCATGCCCATCCCCCTCACTGTCTTTGAGAGGCTCTATCTTGCCTCATGGAGCTGTCAGTGGTCACTGGGAGAAAACACTCTGGCCCCCGGAAGTTAATGGGGTTCCTTAGGAAGCAGTATCTGCATGAGGTCTCCCCTGAGAGTGCCTGGCCTTCCTGCTGGAGCGCCCCCCGTGCTGCACTCAGGGCAGATGAAGGCAGGCAAGGAGAGACAGACTCACCCTCCCCCAGAGCCTGGGGGCTGAGGCTCACAGCAGGAAATCCAAGGCTGCTGGGGAAAGGGAGCGGGGACTGGGAAATGCACAGAAGCATGAAAAGAAAAGGGTTGGGATCCTTCCTTCCTGGGACCACATATATGTTTGTGCAGTTTTCTCTACATAGAGGCACCTGGCCAAGGGTTTCAGGGTGAGGACTGACCTCAGCCCACACAGAGGGTTTTCCTCTACGATAAGCCATGTCTGGGGGCTGTCGACCCCATAGCCCACAAAGGGGTCCTTGTTCTTAATTTGCAGAGACACTGACTGGGGCCTCGGGGGATGGGGGCTGCTATCTCCTGCCCTCCTTTCACACCCACCCTCCCTCCTCTTTCTCAGGCTCCATTCTGAGGGCTCCCGGTTAAGGCACCCTTCCTCACTTTCTACTCGGGGTTGCTTTTCCCTAGCTCAGAACTGAAAGCGGGTTTGATTCTACTGACTCAGACCTTGCTCCAGAATACTGTTTCTCTAAGAAGTGTGGGAACCCTCAGCGGACCAGTGGGAGAGAGCAGTGTGCAGTTAGAGCCAGGCACAGCTGAGACCCATCTGCCCTGTCCTGTGGCAAAGCCTCCAGCCCTGCCTTCCCCTCTCCAATGATCACGTGGCATGATGCCCTCTCCCCACTTTACTTTGTCCATTTTTTGACAACAAAGAAGAGAAAAGGGGGGAAGTTCGTTTGACTTCTCTCTAGAAACCCTCAGTACTGTGGGACTGGCATGATGGTGGGTGAGAGGGAGCAGGAGATATCAGTGGATGAGGTGCCCAGAGCCTGGAAATTCTGGAGCTAAAAGCTCTAGTGAGGACTGCTCTTGGTCCTTATCGCCAAAGTTATTTCTTGTTTTTTGTTTAGATTTTTGTATCTCAGTGTCTACAGCAGTAAAATGTGACCTAAACCAACTATAACTCACAGGGATACTAAGGTGAGCTGATATTAGAATGAAAGCATTATGACAACAATTTTAAACATTCTTCAAATAATCCATCTTTTCTTTGGGATACTCCCACTTTAAAAAATAGTCATCATAATCCACATGTCCCAGAGAGACATACTACATATAATAGCTGTGTAAATAAGGAATCTCTGGACTTTGAGATTCCCCTTGTGGGCCTCTGGAGTGGCTACAGATTAGTTCATGTCAGAAGGAATTCATTCCCTTCTTGGAGGTTCAGAAAGGCTTGCCTCCTGCTACCGGGTTTCCCCTTCAGGTCAGCACTTCCGTCTTAGCCAGGCTGTAGCTAAGGGACCCTGAGTGTGTGGGATTGATCAGCCTTGCAGCTGATGGAGACCTCGCCATTGGATTCCAGCTTCTTTTTGGGGGTACCATGAGCCACACAGTAATCCCTGGTCCAGCTTAGCACTGGGTTGTTTTACCCTAAACTGCCACCCTCTTGTCATTCCTGGAGCTGAGTGAGTCACAAATGTTGTCCCTCATCCCAGTTTTGGAAGCTAGAACAAAATGTGAAAGGCAAAGTGTTCCAGCCTGTGCTGGAGCCTCTGAGGCTGGGGAGCAGAGGACGCACTCACAAATCATTCCCCAGCTACCAGAGAGCTGCATGGGAAACGCCCAGAGAAGAACCTTAAGACAAATGTGTGTAGAACTCTTCAGCTGGATTTATCGGCCCAGCTCAAAGAACATCATCATAACCAGGATACAAGAGAAGAGTGTTCAGGGCAAGATGGTTGAACTGAGTCTCAGAGCTTGGTGGTGGGCAGGGACACCATCTGTGTTGACCCTGCAGATACTAAACATATCTGAGGTGGTTAGTGGAAAAACTACTCAACACTAATGGCAAAGCTTCTCTTTTTTGCTTACCCTTGTGATCAAGTGGGGTTTTAGATCTCCCCATGATCTCGTCCTCTGTGGCATTCAAGTTCTGGATCAAAAAGTATGTGGTCATTTTCCCTTTACCTTTCACTTCGATTTCACCCCTCTCAATGATTTCAAACCCTTGATTTTTTAAGGCACTGCACAGAGAAAAAAAAATGCATCAGACATCAAAGATTGTGGGTCTGTAACTCAAGAGTTGGCTACAATGCAAAGGGCTACTCAAGAGGAAAAGTCCAGGACACAGGACACACAACAGCAGAGGAGGGAGGATCCCAGACATCAGCCTGCTGAAATGGGACAGAGGCCGTGGGGAAAGTGAGGATGAGATATTCTGAACAGGATGCCACAGGCCAAAAGAGAGCACAGGGACCCACCAGAACCCTCCCAAACCCTGCCACCAATTTTCCTCCCTCCAGCTCACCCCTCATCTGGGCATCTCTCACGTTTCTACACACCATGCTGTCAGTGCCCGTGTGGACACCACCTTTCATGGTTCTGCCACGTAAGGCTCTTGGGTATCAGTACTCTTCTTTCCATCTTCCCCAAGTGCACCATATACCCCACGCTTGCTGCTATGCTCATCCTAAGTACCCAAGCTTTCTCCACCATAATTTCTGTCTGCAGAGGAACTGAAGAGGAGGACTATAGGGTAGGGACCATGAAAAGAGACAGAGCTACAGAGTAATTACAAAATGCTTTCCTGTTTATTTATTTACTGGCCACCAAGTGATGTTGGAGAAAAGCCAAAGAACCACTCAAACCAACGAGGATTCAAATTCATGACCACCTGCCTCGGCAGTCCATCGAGCCTTCCCTTGTCCTTGGCCAGGTTGGTAGAGAGTTCAGACCTTCACCACACTCCTCATGTGCCTCCATTTGGCATCTGCTCCCCTCACTTTTATGCTGGTGGCTGTACCTCCTACTTTATGCCCTGATTCATCTAGAAAATTACATTAATTACAAGTGAGAGCCTGTGACTTCTCACCCCATGACCACACCATCCTGTCCCCCAATCTCTGAGGATGAGGTATCTTTCTTGTCCAGGGGCTCCTCACACATGCCCCCTTCCCACCACCTCTGGGCCTTGCTCCATTGGCCACCCCACCCTTATCTTCAGCTCCCACTCCATTTGCCTTTCTCCTTCTGCTTTTCAGTGTGCTTATGTCTCTTCCATCCTAAACAGAAGCAAACAAACAGCCTCTCACCTGCTTTAATCCTATAAAATTTTCTCTTCTTTTTATTCTTCAGCCCAATGTCTATCCCACCATTCTACTACAAAGACTTTTGAGAATGTCCCCAAAACCTCTAGTGAGTATTTTTCCGTCCTTATTACTACAATTGACACTTTTGTTCAATTCCTCCTTCCTACAGTCATCCACAAGAGCGCTTCTCACCCTGAACTCTCCTGGTCCTTTCTGACTATTTGTTCTCCGGTCTCTTCCCTGGGCTTGTCTTCCTTCTATGCCACTTAAATGTTGGTTCTGCACAGGATTCCTTTCTTTTGCCACTGTTCTTTGCATACTGCATCCTTCCCTGGGTTGATCCCATCAACTCTCATGACTTTAATTACCACCTATATGTTGCTTACTCCAAGTCTGGATCTTGAACAACTCAACTCCAAACTTCATCCATCCATTTTGTGGTACCTCTAGCTGAGTGTTCCACAGTTCCTTTGAACCCAATGTGTCCAACCTGAACTCATTGTCTGCCCCTGTGATCTGGGATACTTCTCATTTGTCCCATTGCAGATGGCGGGGCCACCATTCAAGCCCTAGTCACCCAGAATGGAGACCCGGGCTCCTCCCTTCTTCTCCTCCCCCATTTCTAACTAGTTTAGCTGGTTTTATTTTCCCCCATATTCCTACCACTAATGTTCTGATTCAGATCAAACTCCTAACAGGTCTCATCTATCTCATTTTCTGGTCCTCAAGTATGTCCTTTCAGGGTCTCTAGAGTGGTCAGTGTCAAATAGGACCCTGACCCTGTCACTGTCTTCAACCTCACACTCCTTGGGGGCTTTTCCTCACCTACGGCATAGGGCCCTTGCCCTTCAGCAAGGCATGTGCAGCTCTCATCACTCCTGTCTCATATTTTCCAATACAGAAAAGCTCAGGTGTTTATAGTTCTCTGCACCTCTTCTACATGTGAGCCTGTACCTGCTTTTTACTTCCAATACCCCAATTTTGGCTAAATTTTACTCTGGAACTCCTTTTTCAAGATTCAGCTCAGGAATCTCCTTCCCGAAGTCCTTTTTTATTACTGGGTCAAGCACCCTTGTCTGGGCTCTCATGGCACCCTCTGTGACTCCCTTGGGGATAAGAGTGCAGTAGTTAAAGGGAGGACTGTGAACCCTGACTTCGTGGGCTGCATGTAGGCTATTCTCCTTCCTAGCCTACCTGGTCCTGAGGCAAATGATTAACCTTTTTGTGCCTTTTCTTTCATGTACATAATAATAATGTATCTTCACAGAGCTGTTGCAACTGTAAATGAATTAACATATGAAAGAATTTAGAATAGAATGTGGCCTATTGTAAGTGCTCAAGAAACTGTATAGTTTTATGCACATATTTATCATTGTACTCCTCTCACTTTAAAAATAATTAACTGCAACTTTTCTTTTTTCTTCTGCTAGACCAAAGGTCAGCACCCTTTTTATATAGAAGACCAGCGAGTAAATATTTTAGACTTTGTACATCATATGGTCTCTGTTGCAGTGATTCAACTCTGACTTTGTAGCATGACATCAGCCATAGACAATATGTAAATGAAAGCGCATGGCTGTGTTCCAAGAAAACTTTATTTACAAAAATGAGCAGCAGACTAGATTTGGTCTATGGGGTAATAATTTGCTGTTCTCTGAACTAAACTACATGCTCCTTGAGAGTAAAAACTGTGTTACAGTTAGAAGCGCAACAAAATTTATTGTCTGCCACAATATCTTCTGAAAGCCATTGAGACATGGAAGAAAAAGCACGAGTTTCCTCCACTATCTCGTCCCATGGCTGCTAGGCACTCTATAAGTTCTGGAAAGAGGGAGGGACAAAGGAAGGCTTGAATAAATGGAAGGCTACCTGTAGGCTGTGGGGCTGAGGTGCACTTTGTTGGGAAGCCCATGACTTTCCATCCTAGAAGCTGTGTTCACAGTGTCACCAAACAAGCAGTACTGTGGCATCTTGTCTCCTACAACACCTGCTAAGACTGGTCCAGTGTGGATCCCCACTCTGATCTGTACAGAGAGAGCATCACTGAAAAGAGACCATCTAATACTCTTGCTTTTATTTGTAAGTTGAGATACAATTTACATAAAATTTTTAAAAAACTGATAGTAAAGTGTTTAGCTCCCTGAGTTTTGACAAGTGCTTATATCCCTGTAACCACCAGCCAAAATAAAATGTAAACTAGTTCCATTACCTCGCAAAATTATCTTGTGCACCTTCTAGTTAAGCTCTCTCCCCATCTTCTTCAGCAGAGATGACTACATTCTCATTTCTTTTTTCTCTTTTTTTTTTTTTTTTTTGAGATGGAGTTTCACTCTTGTTGCCCAGGCTGGAGTGCAGTGGCGCGATCTCAGCTCACTGCAAACTCCGCCTCCCGGGTTCAAGCAATTCTCCTGCCTCAGCCTCCAGAGTAGCTGAGATTACAGGCGCCCGCCACCACGTTCGACGAATTTTATTAGAGATGGGGTTTCACCATGTTGGCCAGCTGGCTGGGTTGGTCTTGAACTCCTGAACTCAGGTGATCCACCTGCCTAATCTTCCCAAAGTGCTGGGAAAATAGGCATGAGCCACTGCACCCGGCCTTTTGTGTTTATTTTACCAAAGAATGATTTGCCTGTTCTAGAACATCACATACGTACAATCATACAGTATAAACTGCTTTTTATCTGGTTTCATTTACTCAACATAATGTTTTGAGATTCATCTATATTGCCTTACATATCAGTAGTTCATTATTTTTATCACTGAATAGTATTCTATTGTAAGAATACACCACATTCATTATCCAGTCTCCTTTTCATGAACATTTAGATTATTTTTCAGTTTGAATCTATTAAAATTAAGGCTACTATAAGCATTTCTGTACAGATATTTTTGTAGACACGTTTTCCTTTCTCTTAAGTAAATACCTAGAAGTGGAATTTCTGAGTCACAAGGTAGATACATAATTTTATTTTTTAACAAAACAAACAAAAAAACTACCCAGCAATTCTCCAAAGTTGTTTTACTGTTTTACATTTCTATCAGCAACGCAACACTTTCAGATGCTCCCATTTTCACCATCGTTTGGTCTTCTCCAGGGTGTGAAATGATATCTCGCTGTGGTTTTAGTTTGCTTTAAATTGGTGACTAGTGATGTTAAGCACATTGTCACATACACATTGGCCGTTCACATATTTTCTTTGGTAAAGTCTGTCCAATTTTTTGCCTGTTATAAAAATTGAGCTGTGTGTCTTTTATTGTTAATGTGTATGAGTTGTATACATATATGTACGTATTACAAATATTTTTATCAGTCTGTGGGTTTGTGTATTTATTTTCTTTAATAAGCAGAATTTTTTAATTTTGATGAATGTATTCATCTGCTTAGGCTGCCATAGCAAAATACCATAGATTGTGTAGCTTAAACCATGGAAATTATTTCTCACAATTCTGGAGAATGGAAGGCCAAGATCAAGCTGTGAGCAGGGTTGGTTTCTCCTGAGGCCTCTCTGCTTGGCTTGTAGATTGTCCACCTTTTTGCTGTGTCCTCACATGGTCCTTCCTCTGTGCACATGCATTCTTGGCGTCTCTTTATATCCAAATTTCATCTTCTTATATAGACATCAGGCACATTGCATGAGGGCTCACTCTTAAGGCCTCATTTTACTCAGTAAAGGCCCTAGCTCCAAAGACAATCATGTTCTGAGGTACTGAGTACTAGAGTTTCAAAATAAGAATTTTGGGTAGGACACAATTCAGCCTGTAACAATGAAATTTATCATTTTTTTTCCCCTTCATGGTGAGTGCTTTCTGTGTCCTATCTAAAAAAAAAAAAAAAAAAAAAAAAAAAATCATTTGCCCCAAAGTCATGATGCTATTCTTTATTTCCATCAAGAGGCTTTATGATTCTAGATTTTATGTTTAGATTTGTGATACATATCAAAAGATCTTTTTGTATATGGGGTGAGGTAGAAGTGAGGTACATTTTTTCTTTCCATATGATATTCAGTGGTACCAGAATCCTTTTTTTAAAAACAGGTTGCCTTCCCCACTCAATTGTTTGATGACTTGGTCAAAAATCAATGGACTAAACATGAGTCTATGTCTGGACACTCTGTGCTGCTCCAGTGGTCTCTTTTTCTGCCCTTCTCCCAATCTAACTCTGTATTTTTTTTCTGTTGCTTTAGAATAAGTCTTAAAATTAGTTGTGTACATCCTCCAATTTTGTTATTTTCTAAGATTGTTCGGGTTAGTCTAGGTTCTTTACACTTCCATATAAATTTTTAAATTAACCTATGACTATTTTCTAAGAAGCTTGCAGGGATTTTGTTTGGTATTCTGCTGAATCGATACATCAATTTGGGGAAAACAGACAGCTTAAATATATTGAGTTTTCCAATGAATATGGTGTATGTCTCCATTTAATTAGGTCATCTTTAATTTCCCTAAGCAATATCTTGTAGTTTTAAGCATAGAGGTCATGTATATCTGTTGTTAGATTTATTCCTAGAAATTTAAATAATTTTATTTTCTTTTTATTTCATTTTTCAATTTTTTTGTCCTTAGCATATAAAAATTTAAATAATTTTCCTGTATTTATGCTATGACCTTGCTAAACTCATTTATTAGACCTTGTAGTTTCCTGTAGTTTGTATAAGATTTTCTAGGTGAACCATTATTTGTTCTGTGAATAATGATAATTTTATTTCTTCATTCATTTCCAAACTTAATGTCTTATATTTATTCTTCTTGCCTTAGTGCACTGGGTAGGGTTTTTGGTATACTTAACTAGAAGTGGTTGTCTTTGTATTTATTCTGCTTGGGTTTGCTGAGCTTTGGATATGTGCATTGATATCCTTCATGTTGAAAAATTCTTAACTATTATCTCTTGAAATATTTCTTCATACCCATTCTCACTCTGTTCTCATTCTAGCATTTCAGTTACATATATAGGAGTCCATTTGACATTGTTCTACAGATATAGAGTGCCTTGCTCCCCTTTTTCACTCTGTTTTCTTCTTTGAATTTCAGTTTGGATGATTTCTATTTCTCTGTCTTCAAATTCCCTCATTTTTTTCCCTATTGTGTCTAGTCTTTGTTAAGCCCATAAAATTAATTCTTTATTTCTGATTTCTGAGATCATAGTTTTCTATTAGATATAGATATAGATGTAAATATAGATAGTATGTATGTATTTCCCATATCTTCACACTTGTTTTGCCTCTTCTAGACTCTTTAAAATATTTATCAGACTTATTTTAAAAATTCTATCTGATAATTCCAACATCTAGGCTATTTTTGGACCTGCTTCTATTGACTATTTTCTCTATTGGCTATCCACTATATTACCATTTTCTTGATTCTTCTTGCATCTCATATTTTTTATTATTTAATTGAATGATCCATATTGTGGGTGAAAATACAGTAGAGACTGAAGTAGATAACATTTATCCCCCAGAAAATGTTACATCCCTTCAGAATTAGGCTGCTGGAATGGGGAGTAATCTAATCCATATTTGAGTTGGGTCAGGGCTTTTCTGGAAATAATGGTAGATTCCATGCACCACAGGTTTCAAATATTATGAAGGCTGAATCAGAACTTTCAGTACAGCAGAACTTAGAATCTGAGCACCAGCAAGGCTCTGAGGACCTTGAGTGTTGTACAGCCCATCCACCAGCTTTTGGAGTTGTAGGAGATCTCCTTCTGCAGTACAGTCCAACAGTGAGATTTTCAGAAGTCTCTTTGCTCTTCAGTCCCACCCTGGCTCTCTGTACTTTGGGAAAATTTTCTCTGCCATTCCTCCTTGCCCTCAGACTTCAAAAGGTCATTGTAGTGCACTTGGTGAAGATGAAGAGTACTTCAGCTAGATTTCTCTCGGTTATCTTACTCTAACATTAGCCTTTAATGGGCCACCGTTTTGCATTTGGGAAAGGCCCCAAACACCTCAGGGACTCGGGAGTTCTCTCAGCTCTCCTCTCCTGTCCTAGTCTTTGGCTGACTAACCTGCCACACTTGGCCTATGAGGAAGAGTTGGTAGATGGGTCCAGACTCTGTGTCTGCTGCTCTCTGGCATTGTAACCTGTTGTTTCAGTCCTGTGACCATTAAAAACCCACTAAAATTTAGACGGGCTTATCCCTACCCTCACCTCTGCAAGGTTACTTCTCCTGCTGCCCTGCCAGGATTGAATGCAATTATGAGGGTCTTCTCTTTGAAAGGGTTTGTTACTACCTGGAATTTAGTTTACTTTGATTCCTTTGCTTTCTGGTGGGGAATAAAAATAAAAATTAAAAATTAAAAACTACTAGCATGGGAGCAACAGTCTCTTGCAGCTTTCTACATCCTAATCAGATTGCTTGTTGTTTTTACTTGCTAGATTTTCTTCTCCTTGAAATAAAATTATAACTTCCTCTAGAAAAAGAGGATTCTCTGAACCCTTCAAGGCACCTAGTAATACTGTCTCATACATGGACAGATCTCAGTAAATGTATATTAAAGCTATCTGAATAAAATAATAGGATATCTCAGTGCAAAATAATTTTTAAAATGTAGAAATGGCAGCACAATTCTGTTAAGAGAGAAAGTGTTTCCAGTTCTTTCACCTACATCCTCGGATAAACCCATATGATATGCTCTTTCTGGTGGATATTTAATGATGCTCCTAATTATGTCCATATTCTTACCTTGGAATTGCTAACATCTTTTCCTGTTTTTTTCTTGGTAAATCCACCTTGAGTGTGTCCCAGAATTCACTGGCTATTTCATTCTTATTGGTATAGCATTATTTTCATCTCTAGTGCTATGCCCCTTTCATACACACATGCACACACACACACATGTGCGCGCACACACACTCACACACGCACACACGTGCATGCACACACGCGCACGCACACACGCACACGCACACACGCACACGCACACATGCGCACGTACGCACACACGCACACACACACACTACACTTTCCATTTTTATTTTTATTTTTTCACCAGTGACTTATACAAGGGTCCCTTAACTGAAACATTTATCTCTTATCTAATGTTCTTATATCTCTTCCCTCATTACCTCCCATCCTGATTTTTTATTTATTACATTGGATTTTTATTCCACTGATGCACACAGTGTTTGCAATGAGTCATTATGGCAGCTGTCTTGTTCTTGTGACTATCTAAGGCCAGCTTCTACTTAGAAGACTACAGTGAATGCTGTAGCCATGAGCTGCACTGCTCAATGCTGTAGCCATGAGCTGCACTGCACTGGTCAGAGTAAGTGCAGCACATTTTCAGACTCTCCTGTAAAAAGGTTATAATGTGGAAAAATCATAGTCCATCTTATAATTGGCTTTATTTTGAATTGACTCGTTTATTTTGAATTTCTGATATTAGCAAGAGAAGGATCTAGAAATCAAAGGCAGACGGACGCCACTCTCAGCCATCCCAGGAGCATTAGGATCTGCTGAGCCAGCGGAGGAGGACATTCATTTTTCATCTCCAAAACTGTTCAACTTTTAGAGTGTGAACAAACTTCCAGACTTGGAAACATACTTTTCTGTGAGAAAGGCGAGCAGATGTCTCGCTAGTGGCCACGTGGTGGAAGGAAAGCCATTCTGAATATCTTATGGCATCACGGTGCCTGGCCTGCTGACTGCAGGCAGCTTCACACCTCAGTCTGAGTTCTGAACCTGTCAGATGGCATGTTGGAGACACAATTTCATAAGCAGGAAAAGTTGGCTGCTCAGTAAACCTGAACCACTTGTTGAAATGCTTGAACAAAAAAGCAGGAATTATAAATGAGCTGGGTTTTAAGATGGATTGAGCCCTGCTAGATAAATAGGAAGAACTGCTCAGCACTGTCCTAAATTACTGACAAAGGAAGCTTACAGTCAATTGTAGGAAAACCTTGAGCACTACAGCCTCCTCTGAAATTCGAGAAAAGTTGAGACTATAGTAGCCTTAGGAATATCTCTATTAGGAACATATGCAAGAGAAGAAAAGGACTAGGATACATTACCCATTTTAATGACAGCAACTTACCCAGTAATCACCTAAGCACATAAGCAGAAGTTTACTTTTGTGTGTGAGATGTTTGGCATTAAGCCAAGTACTCAGTTGCCCTCTACCTGGATGGGTTCTCCAGTAACAGGATTCATCACTTCCTTTGCAGAAATTCTCATCCCCAAGGCAAAATTAGCCACTCTTTGAGCATGGCTTCCAGTAGGCACTGGTACTCCTTCTACCACCATATATGCATCTCCTATTGTTTCTACCTGTCAGGAAAAAAAAAATAGGTATTCAGAGGGTTTCCTTCATGCACTAAACATGTCACTATGCTTTTTTTCATTTTGCATATATTGACAAAGGGACTATATTAAAGCTGGTGATTGATTCTTTGCTAAGGGTATGAGGAGCACGAGGGAGGAAGTGAGAAGGAAAAGGACTCAGGAAACAACCATAAAAGAGCCAAAAGGCCTTTCTGCTTTGGGTGGAAACAAATTCCAGAGAAGAGGAAGGTCCTGGGGTAGTCATGTGATACTATATATGAGATAACACATTGTTTGGATTCGACTTTCTGCTGAATTTAGGAGTAGGAGAATGATGCTCTAGGGCAACAGTGTTTGCCCTTCAAGGGCACCAGAGTGCCATCTTAGCACTGAGTATTGTAAAAAGAATTCCTAAAAACTAGAATTCCTAAAATACTTCCCATTCCCTTTCAGCTCTTATTCTGAGCCCACACTCATCCACACCAAACCCCAGACCAGTGAAGACAGAGGCAAAGGAAGACTTAGAATCAAGCACTTGCCCTGCGTGAGCACGCTGTGTAACACCCCACACTGCACAGACGCTTACTTTATAGACGGCGTGCACACTGGTTAATCTGTCAGACTTGGAGTACATGGAGTTCAGCATGTTCACTATGTGTATAGGTTCACAGGCAGCACGGATGTCAGTAAATGTCACCACATCGCTGAAAAGAATCGTGCAGCTTTTAAATTCTCCTACAACAGAAACCAGGTATCAGTGAGAACCAAGGAGATAGACTAAGAAGTTCATGAATTCTGGATTCAGAGGCCCTTTGAGAATCAAACCTGCCTGTGGCTTGTGGGAAAAGGAGCCAGACACCATTCCGCATTCAGCATCACTCAGCAAACGTTTACTGAGTGCTTGCTGCAAGCTAGTCACACTAGGGGAATCATATCACAGGGGGCAAGCGGACCAGGCCCTCGCCCCCAAGGAGCCCGCAGTCGAATGAAGGAGACAGAAAAGTGAACAAATGCTTCTAGTAAGATGCAACCAGTGCTGTGGGAGGACAGAAAGGGTCCCTAGTAAGTGGACCAAGCAGAGCCTGAGCTACAGGAGACATGGGGACAGGGCCGACAGAGACTGGTCACTGTGAAGTGGTAGCTCCCCGTCTTTGTATGGCAGGGAAGCTACCTTGTCCTTAACACTTGTTTGTAAGTCATGCCCCTGATTCCACCTTGGCCCCCATTCATGCTAACTTCCACATAGCAACCAGATGCCCTGTTTAAGTCAGATCTCCCATTCTTCAATCTCCAATCTTTCATGATTCCATCACACTGAGAGTGCAACCCAATGCAACCCAGGCCTGACCATGGCCTACAGAGGAGACACCCCACCTCTGTCCCTGCCACCTCTCTGACCCTATGTCCCTCCGGCTCCCTCCACTCTGGCCACACTGGCCTCATGGGGTTTCTCCAACATGCCAAGTGCCTCCTGCCTTCGGGCTTCTACACCTAAAAAAAGAGGTGTTTCCTCTGCCTGACAGTTTTCTCAAATATCTACAGGGCCTGTTACTCACATTTCAAATGTAACCAACTCAGTGAGAATTCTCTTGACCACCCTGTATAAAATAGCCCCTAGACTGGCTATCCTCTTAGCTTGATTGCCTTCCACCCACTCCATACACATGTGACGTTATGTATATATATATGTGTGTGTATGTGTGTGTGTGTGTGTATATATATATATATATATATTTGAGAGAGTCTCGCTCTGTCACCCAGGCTAGAGTGCAGTGGCACGATCTCGGCTCACTGCAACCTCTGCCTCTTGGGTTCAAGCAAATCTCCTGCCTCAGCCTCCCAAGTAGCTGGGCTGTCCTACAGGCACACACTGCCACGCCTGGCTAATTTTTTGTATTTTTAGTAGAGACAGGATTTCACCATGTTGCCCAGCTTGGTCTCAAACTCCTCAGCTGAGGCAATCCGCCAGCCCAGCCTCCCAAAGTGCTGGGATTACAGGCGTGAACCACTGCGCCTGGCCCGATATTTTGTATGGAATGGTTTATTTGGTTTTTGTCTACCTCTGCATTAGAATACAAAGCTCCATGAGATGGAAGACTGTCAGTTTAGATCTCTGCTGTATTCCAAGCACCTAAAGCAGGGCCTGGCACATAGTAGATGCTCAATAAATATTAAGTGAGTGAATCAATCACTCCTTGAACACAGCCGGGTGCCTACTTTGTTAGTTAAGCCTCTAGTTGTAATTCCCTCTTTGTGGAACTTTCTCTTCTCCTTGGCTTCTGGCCTATCATCCTCTCTTCATATTCCTCCTAGCTTTCTGATCTCCTTGTTTTATATCTTTCCTTGGCTTCTCAACCTTCTTAAGTACTAGATGTTCCCTGAACAGTAATACTCCACTGTCTTCTCACTTCCTGTCCTCTAGGTGATCTTATCCACCATTCACAGAGTCTATGATTAACCCCGCCCACATTGCAATAACTCCCAGATGTATAGCTCCATGCCACAATGTTCCCTTGAGCTCTCACTAAGATTCCTACCTCTGATCATCCTATGTGGAGTATCCCACAGACATCTCCAGCTCAGTGGTTTTAAAATAGACCTTATCATTCTCCCCCAACCCTGCTCTTCTTTCTGGCCCTGCCTTATGATAAATCATCCCATTTTTCCATGCAAGAAGCCTCAGACCCATGCCTGCTCCCTCTGTCTTACCGTCCCCATCTGGTCAGTGGGGAAATCCTGCTGATTCTTCCTCAGGCTGCCCTAGTTCAGGCCTCTACCATCAATCAGCTGCGCCCTTACGGGCTTTCAGCCCCACCTCACGCATTCACTACACTGCAGCCCAAATTGGATTTATAAAACTCATCATGTCACTTCCATAATAAGAGAAGAAACTTCAATGAATTCTCACTGCCTACAAAATAAAAGACAATTTCCTTTTCCTTAACAGTCCAGATTAATCACTGCATCACCTGAACCTCACCCTACCCACTCAGCCTCACCAGACCCCACTTTTCCACATACCTCATGCTCTGGGAACATGCCTCCTGGTATTTATTTGCACCTTTGCTCTTAGTAGCCCATTCTCCGGAAATGCCTTTTTCCTCTTTGCTTGCTGAAATTCAGCCTCAAGGCCCAACTCAAGTGTCACACACTTTTGAGAGGTACCTCCACAACCCCAACTGGCCACCCTATCTCTTTCTCTCCTGACATCTCTTTATTATTAATTTCCTTGTTCCCGTGTTGCCATAGCACCTTATGTGATGGAAAGAGTATGGATTTTGAAGTTAGATGGCCTTAACACAGTTACTTTCCAGCTCTTTCACTTATCAGCTGTGCTGAATGTCAATTTGCTCAGCGTTATGGCATGGGCAATACCTCCCTCATAGAAATGTTGAGAAAATTTAATGAAACAGCACATGTAAAATGTCTGACACGGATCCTGGCACAATAATTTCTCCTTAATGCAGATTAATTTCTTTTCCATTGGTCGTTTCTACATCCATGAATTTATTCTGCATATATCTATCAAACTCACAAGTCTGTAAACTCCTCTGTGTCCCCAGATCTGGATCAGCACCCTAGCACAGAGTAAGTTCACCAGGCACGTCTGGTGAATGAACACAGGCCCGTGACAAATGGAAAGTGAGTTCAGGGTAAACACGGCATCCCTGCCTCCATAAATAGTATACTGTCCCAGAATGATCCTCAGAGGAACGCTGTGATTTAACCGGTGTGCGAGTGTATTATTTTTAGTTACAGTTAAGAACCCTACTCATTGTCACTGAGTAATGAGGCCAGTCTCAGGGTACATCCTTGCATTCTTAGAGAACCTAATGTGTATGTAGTTGACACCCATTTTTATATAATTCATGTTTTACTCCTGTATTATTTTTATTATTATCAATGTAGAGAGAACAAAGCTGAGAATATACAAGTGGAGTAATTATCCCAAGATCATGTCACTTACAAGTGACAGAACCAGAATTCAAAACCACTTCTGTCTGGCTTCAAAACCTGTGGCCCTGACCACTAAGACATACCACCTTCTGCTCAGAGGTGCCCGTGCAGGAGAGGGTGCCTTACCTGCAGACACCTTTTTGCCCTCCCTCAACTGGTTGGCCACATGTTTGGGCAGAATGGCATAAAGCAAGGTCTCTGTTTTGTTCTTTTCAGTGGCCAAGTGCTTGGAGAGGACCCGTAGCTCTTCCTTCTTCTTCATTTCCAGCTGGTTGGACAACTCTATCTTAGCCAGCCGTTGCTGGTTCAGGAGGATGAGATCCCTGGTGGTGTCATCGGGTCGATGTCAGAAAGATGCATATTGAGTCTTCCAGCTCGTACAGGCTGTGGAGCTTCAGAGAGCACAGGTACACCATGCACCGCATGGACTCCATCCAGATCATCTGGCCTTGCCATCATGGAGAGAAATTCAACAATATTGTATGTCACCAGTAGGGGCTGAGACGAGCTCGCTGGACAACCAATCATCTCCCACACTGTGTGCTTCTAGTCACTGCACAGTCACGCTCCTTCTCTTTTACCCAAAGTCCATGAGACCTTATTCATCTCCCCTCTTTCCCCAGCAGCTCTGTCCATTGCCTCCATTGAAGTGGCTCCCATCTATCAAGGGCCTCCATGCTACTGATACCAACACAAGTTTCTTGGATTTTTCTTTACTCAGCCCTTCTGCTGTTTGATGATGTTAACCAGACCCTCCTTCCTGAAATCTCACTTCCTAGGACTTCTCTGCACTGCTTTCTCTCTGAGATGTCCCCTAATTCTTTGAATTTTATTTACATTATTTTAATCTCATTCCTTAAACGCTAGTGTTCCTGAGGGTTCTGTCTTGGTGTTCTTGTTTAGCATCACACAGCTGCATCCTATACCATGCTGACTGAATCTGAATTTCCAGAGAAACCTTGCTTCCTGAACTCAATATGTGTATTTCTTTAAAAATAGATATGTTTGTTGTTATTGTAAAAGCAGTACACATTCATTGCAGAAAACAAAAAAAAGTGAAAGAAAATAGTAAAAATCACCCACAATCACACCACATGGATAATTACTGTTAATATTTTGTAGTACATCTTTGTTTTACAAAAAAGATGTACATGGCATCTTCTTTCATAATCTGAATTTTTCACTTAAAAATTCACTTAAAAATTCACTTAACATATTCTTTCATAGTATTAAATATAGATATGCATCTTAATTTTTGCCGGTTACCTTGCTCATACTATTAAATAATAAGTTAGTATTGATTATATTATATCTAGCTTATCATTTTATAAACAACATTGTGATGAATAAGCTTGAGGCAGTCTTTGTGTATAATCATGGCTAGTTAGTTTGTTAAAAGATGTATTCTTAGACACGGGTTACTTAGACAAAGAATATGCTCATTTTTAAGGCTTTTGATACATATTGCCAAAATACCCTCTAGGATGATTGTGACAATTAATAACTCCATGAACAGTGTTTTTATTTTTCTTCTGTTCTCCCTATCAGGTGTCTTGTTCATGGATATCTGAACTGAACTCATCTTCAATCCCCTCCACAAATCTTCTCTTTCTATTAGTTCTTTCATTACATATGTAGTTAGTCCCTACGATGAGCCAGGCATACCGTTTTAAGCATTGGGGATACAGCAGTAACTCAAACTGACAAAAATCCCTGCCTCAAGACATTATATCATGTCTTTTTTTCAGTTAATTGCACCTTCATCACCCAGTTACCCAAGCAAGGAAGCTAATAATTATCCCAATGATTCTCTTCCACCCCCCACATCAGGTCACCAAGTCCTGCCTTAATTATCTTGTGAGTTTATCCTCCAAATGCCACCCCAGTGCCACTGCCAGAGTTCAGCACCTTAGAGCTTCTTTCCTGCACTCCAGAAGCAGCCTCTGTCTGGCCTCCCAGGATCCATTTTCTCTACACTCTGACCCATCCTTCACACACCTCCAGAGTGATCATTCTAAAATCAAATCTGATAATGGCAGACACTTCAACATGTTTCCAGCTGCAGGATAGAGTTCAAGTCCTCATCTTGCCAGCCTCCTCTCCCATCACTCCACTCTACATCTCACTCAGGCTCCCAGAACGTGTCATTCTCCCGTCAGACATCCCCCCAGCTCTGCCTGTGCTTATCCCTGGAATACCTAATCATCCCTCTAATAGAAAGATAGCTCAAAATGTGTGCCCTTTCATGGCATATACAAAAATTTGCTCAAAATGAATCAAAGACCTAAATGTAAGAGCTAAAACTATAAAACTCTTAAAAGAAAACATAGAAGAAAAGTTTCATAACATCAGATTTGGCAACAATTTCTTGGATATGACACCAAAATCACTGGCAACAAAAGAGAAAATAGATAAATTGGATTTCATCAAAATTAAAGTCTTTTGTGCATCAAAGAACACAACCAACAGTGAAAAGGTAACACACAGAATATATTTGCAGATTATATATCTGATAAGAGGTTAATATTCAGAATGTATAAGAAATTCCTACAACTCAACCACAAAAGCAAACAACCCAATTAAAAATGGACAGAAGACTTGAGTAGACATTTTTCTGAAGAATAGGTAGAAATGGCCATTAAAGATTCTCAATATCAATAATTATTAGAGAAACACATATCAAAAGCACAATGAGAACACAATCAAAAGCACAACTTCACACCCATTAAGATGGCTACTATTTTTTTAAAAGCAGACAATAAGTGTTCATGAGGATGTGGAGAAACTGGAACACTCATCCGTTTTGATGGGAATGTAACATAGAGCAGCCACTATGAAAATCAGTATGGAAGTTCCTAATTTTAATAAATTAAAAATAGAATTACCACAAAATCCAGCAATGCCACTTTTGGATATATATTCCAAATAAATGATGGCAGGGACTCAAAGAGACATTCACACACCCACCCTTATAGTAGTAGTATTATTCACAATAGCGAAGTTGTGAAAGAAACCCAAGTGTCCATTGATGGGTGAATGGATACAGAAAATGTTGTATATTCATACAATGGAATATTATTCAGCCTTAAAAAGGCAGGAAGTTCGGACACATGCTACATTATGGATGAACTTTAAAGACATTATGCTAATTGAAATAGGCCAGTCACAAAAGGACAGGTACTGTATTATTCCACTTATATGAGTTATCTAGACTTGTCAAATTCATAGGAACAGAAGGTAGAATGCTGGTTGCCAGGGAATTGAGGAAGGACAAATGAGTTATTGCTTAAGAGGTAGAGTTTCAGTTTTGCACAATATGAAAAAAGTTCTGGAGATAGATGGTAGTGACGGTAGCACAACATGTGAATGTGCTTAATATCAATGAATTGTACATTTAAAAATTATTAAAATGGTAAATTTTGTTATGTAAATTTTGCTCAATTAAAAACAAAATGTGTGCCCTACTAACAGTGAATTAGATGATCATGTTACTACATAAAATACGGACATTAATTTAATACCAGTAATACCTCATGCATTCTGAAAATTTTGGTAACATCAGAATTTTGTAATTACATAATGTATATAATTTTATAATTATGTATGTAACTATATTACATATATAGTTTACGTCTAAACCAGAGATGGTTGAGGAAATAAAATACATTCTTTATAGATCAAGTCAAGTGGAAAGGTCAGAAAAAAGAAAATGTGTTCTCAACGTAGCCCCTATCCCACTTTTTAGGAAATTGGAAAACTTTGCGTCTTCCCTTTCTGATCAATCTCTCAAACAGGCAGGGAGCAACAGGAAAGGAGTGAGTGATTACCTCGAAATTTGAGTGTGGTCTGACTTTACCATGCTACAGGCATCATTTCTCTTCGTGTCTTCAGGACAAATTGACTGTTGATAAATTTGCAGATGCTGAAAATGTTGAAGGTAACTTGAGGATGAATGATGGAGAAATACTTATCCAGTTGAATCTTCTGGGTTTGGAGTCCTGGCACGTAACTTCTGAATGATCACTCCAGCTTGCTTTACCTGTAGCTATCCACAGAAGACAGATATAAGACAGGAATAGAAGGCGACCCCCCTCCCCATAAACTTCCCCTTGGAAATAACGTTCTAGCCATGTTCTGTGGCTCACTGTCGGGAAAGGGGGTCAGTAATGGAATCAACATCATGGAAGTAATAATTTTTTTTGAAACAATCAAATCTGTGCTAATGTCTGAAAGAGAAAAGAATAGTATGAGAGTGCTCAGAGGCTTATTTCTGACTAAAGAGAAATGAGGTTACAGCTCTCTATTGGGCTAATAGTTCCTCCCTAGCTCTGAGACAACTCTCTCTCTCTCTCTCTCTCTCTCTCTCTCTCTCTATCATTTGCTAATGAAGAAACTAGCAAATTCTATAGCATTGGATCTATTACCCAGGTCTGGATGAAGAAATTCATCAGGGAGGTGGGGAGATGCCTTTCACTGCTATCACCAGTGAACACACAGAAGGAGGAAGTAAAATAGGTGTCCTTTTAATGAGTTCCTAATCAATTCAGTTGACATATATTTTATCCATGGAAATGGATTAACAATCAAACTTAAATAGTTATGCTCACAACTCTCACAGAGCAGTGGCTTGAGTTGGTATGACCCTTTCCCCATGTTCAAGATGCAGAATGTGAAGCTGGGTGGGATGGAGACATACCTGGTGGCCACAAGGATGGGAAGAATTCACGGGTAGAATTCCACCCTATCATTGCTACTGATTGTGTTCTGCTGTCTGTTTATGTAGTGAATTTTAGTGTCACTTCCTTTTCCCCTTTTTTCTAATGGTAAACTTTCCCATGCTTTTACTAGTTCAAACCTCCCTTTCTACCCTATCAAGAAGCTCCTGCATTCTGGATTCTGGAGGATACCACAATACGAAAAGGAAATCAATAGTCCTGCCAGGGTAGACCCTAGTCTCCCAAGTCCTGGGGATTTCTCAGGGACTTGAAAATCTCCACTGTTCATGAAGGACTATAAATCATGCTCACTTCCCTGGCTTAGCCCCAGTCCCAAACTATTTAGGGAAGAGTCTCTTACTGATTCATCAAATACAATGTGGAAAGGAAAAGCGTTGCAGAATGTCTTCTCTTCAATCCAGAGTCTCTCAGGATAAATGGGCTCAAAGGCATTCATGAGATGCCCTGGACGTAGAGAAAGTGCTGATGAGAAGCAGCTCCTGCCGCCACCCTTGCACAGAGCAGAGCTCAGGATAGGGATAGTATCTTAAGTGTTTCACAAGCAAAGTGCAATCCTACTTCTTTTGCATGGGCTCCCTCAGCATCTCCAGATGGCCACGGCAATTCTTCTTCCAAATTAAAACAAACAGAAAACTTGCTACCAGGTTGAGAAGCCCTTCTGCCCCCTGCCAAGTTTCTGCCTGCCGCTGAAGAGTTTCTGGGCCAATTGAGTACGTCTCGCCATGAACACAGAGTCGGCATTGAAATGGTGACAGCCAGACAATGAGCCAGCAGAGCAGAGCGTGTGCTCCGGGCCCAGCATCAGGGACATTTGCCATGGAGCTTTTTAGACTGACAGTTTTGGGTGGCACGTGAAAATTTAACCAACAGTCCTATTTGGCAGGGGGTAGAGATTCGAAATGGAGCCTTTTTGATATGAAAATCTCCTAGACAAAGGATGTCAATTGCATGTTTGACTCACTTGCCATGGCTTGAAGGACGCAAAATGCAGCCCTTTGAGCCCTGCAGACCTTCTCCCAGATGCGTGTCACCTGGCCCATTGAGCCGTGACACAGAGCACCCTAACTCCCTTCTCCCAGTGGATCAGAGCCCTTATTCAGACTCAGGCGTTAGGTGCTAATCGTTAGACCGGCTCAGTGCCCACGGGGCTACCTTAGCAAGCCTAATGCCTGCATTTTGCAAATGAGAAGATGGAGACTCTTGTCCAGGGTCACACAGCTCCTTAGGCACAGAGCCAGAAACTTGCTTTCTTGGCTCTTGATCTAGTGGCCTTGCTGGGTGACTAAGGCTGTTATCCATAGATCTCCAGTCCAGAAATGTGTCCAAATGGAGAAGGCCTGACTGCAGAAGAGGAGCTGTGGAAAATTCATTGTTCCTGATGGCACATCAGTGCTCATCTTCCTTCTTTCCACCCATCACCTGTTGGGAGTGATTCCAATTGTGTCTCCAAAAACTTTTTCTTAGGACAGGAGAGACGATGTCCCCATGTGACCCAGCACAAATAATGAGAGGCAATGGAAGGACAATTAGAGTCTGGCATTTTAAAGTTAAAAACCATGGCCGCCAAATCCAAGTGTTGCGGAAACTAGTGCCATGATAATCACAGAGGGCTTGGCCCCGTCAGTGTATACTGGCAGGTACTCCTGAGAATCAGGCAGTCTTTCTGATCTCAGAGCTGAGCTTGGGAGAACCACTCACTTACCTTTTCCAAACATGACTATGCTTCTCACAACATCCCAGTGGGATTTTTTCACAGGACAAGCAGAAACATTCAAATATTTCTTCTTCATCCTGAGGAAAGCTGCCTGGAGGGCCTGCAGATGGCAGGGAGATAGGCACCTGGTCACATGACTGGAGAAGCACAAACCCCATTTGCTGTGATGGGGTCCACCTTTAACTAAGGAACTGTGCCATGGCCAGAGGAACAGCATGAGGGCTTACAAGACCAATTCTACCAAGATTTTAGCATTTCCGATATTTTTAAATCAAATTAGTCCTCATACTGTTTCTCTATCAAAGAAAGCCATAACTTTTTAGAAAATCTCAAGACAGAACTAAGATGCTATCTGGCAAGAAAATCATGCACGAACATTTCTTCCTGTGGTTGAAGATTCTGCAGTGAACAGACTCTGAGGTGGACTTTGAAAATACTCTAAGGAATCACAGACTAATCCTAATCTGAGTATTTTCACAAGCTATGGTCATGGAGAGCTGTTCACCTAATGCATGTGGTAACCTAAGCAGGTAATGGTCACCCTACCAGGTGCAACTGAGGTGGCCAAGTACAGGGTCTTGAGTTGACTCAGGACCTATGAATGGTTCCAGCTGCAGAAGTGGGCTCTGAAGACTGGAAAGATCAATTTATTTGAGGAGGATTGAAAAAAAAGCCATCAAGTTCAAATTTCAAATCCTTCATATGGTTATTCTTACAGGTGGACAATTTTCCAGGCTCAGGTACATTCCAGAATGCTTCCCAGTATATATCCACTTAACCTTAACCCAGTAATCCTCAACTGGGAATGATTTTATCCATTACCCCCACTATGCGGACACTTGGCAATGCCAGCAGACGTTTCTTTTTCTTTCTTTCTTTCTTTCTTTCTTTTTTTTTTTCTTTTTGTGCCACAAATGAAGGGATGAGGTTCTACTAGTAGGAAAAGACCAGGGATGCTGCTAAGGACACTATAATGTAAAAGACACACTATCAACACCAAAGAATTATCTGGTTCAAAATGTCAGTTGTGTCAAAATTGAGAAGCTCTGCCTTAATTCCACTATTAGAAGGTCCAGTCAGTCTCCCATCCAAGCACTAACCAGGACCAACCTTGCTTAGCTTCCAAGATCAGTCATATTCAGGGTGGTATAGCTATAGACACTCATAAGTGGGAGTTGAACAATGAGAACACATGGACACAGGGAGAGGAGAATCACACACTGAGGCCTGTCAGAGGATGGGGGACAAGGAGAGGGAGAGCATTAGGACAAATACCTAATGCATGTAGGGCTTAAAACCTAGATGACGGGTTGATAGGTGCAGCAAACCATCATGACACATACATACCTATGTAATAAACCTGCACATTCAAAACATGTAACCCAGAACTTAAAGGAAAATGTAAAACACAAAAACAAAAAATTCAAAGGTCCAGTTGATTCTGTTGTTTGCATAGATTTTTCCAAGACTGATAGCTCTACTTAAGTGCAACTGTTCTTTCTAAAGGCATAGCAAACCCAGTACCTCTTGGTCTCTCTCGATGCCCTGACTGTCTTGTAGCCTTTTTGACTTTGCCTTTCTCATCTTCCTGTAAGCCTTCAGAAATACAACATGCTCCTTCTTCCCTGTCCTCTCCACTTCTTCATTCATGTCAAGAATGTCCATGGTTACCTCAATGTCAAAGAAGTCTTTGGCCACAGCCTCAATGATACCTGCAGCAGAAGGACACCTATTGTTGAGGGATGGCCGAAGGCAATTTTATCAGCAAAAATCATAAAATAATCAAATTGTAAAACTTCTGATGAATATTTTGAAGTTCACCAAGCCCAGGCCCTGCTTTAAATCAGACATCAGCAACAACCAATTAAATAAAAATATGCAGAGACTGAAGTTATACATGTTTGGATACCAAATATATCCATGCCACTTTAATTTCTAGTTTGGCATCTATTCATTTGTTTGTTATTTCAGGTAGGCATTTAACTCATTAAACAAACAAATAAACCTAGAGATAATGTAAGCAAAATTCAGTTGTAAAAGATTTAAGGATCAAGTTTTTAAAAGTGTTCCTCTGGGCACTATCCCAGGGTTATATACAAAATACAGGGAAAGCGCCGGGCACGGTGGCTCATGCTTGTAATCCCAGCACTTTGGGAGGCCGAGGCGGGTGGATCATGAGGTCAGGGGATCGAGACCATCCTGGCTAATACAGTGAAACCCCATCTCTACTAAAAATACAAAAAATCAGCCAGGCACGGTGGCGGGCGCCTGTAGTCCCAGCTACTCGGGAGACTGAGGCAGGAGAATGGCGTGAACCCAGGAGGTGGAGCTTGCAGTGAACCGAGATCACTCCACTATACTCCAGCCTGGGGGGACAGAGCGAGACTCCATCTCAAAAAAAAAACAAACAAACATATATATATATATATATGGAAAGCATGCATGAAGATGTTCATGATAGCATTGTTTACAAAAGCAAAAGATTAGTATCAATGGAAAATTTAATAATAGGAGATTAGTTTAGATAATTACAATATGGAATATCATTCAGCCATTTAATATGTGGTTTTAAAGATTATGTGGAAACATGCTTTTTCTACAATGCTAAATGCAAATAAAGAGTTGATACAAAATAATATATGCAGAATTATCACAGCTATGTAAAAACCTGTATAATTTAAAATGTTGAAAGAAAAATACAAATTATTCATTTTTGTGGAATTTTGGAAACATTTTAAAAGCTCAAGGACTTTGGGAGCAGTGGTCAAGATGATATGAAGTCACACATTCTAAGAGAGTTTTAACTTCTTACCCGTAGCCAGCTATTAGCCATCCTGGAGAATCTGTGGGGAAACTTTCCTCACTTCAGAAGCTCCATAGCTCTGCAGTCAGCTAAGCCATTTCCATACCTGGTACAATTGGCACAGACCACTTCTATCTGAGTAGTAATGGAGAAACATGTTTCCATCTGCTCCTCTCTCCACACGAAACGATGGTGCATGCATCTTCTAATTAAAAGACACACATTTTTCCCAGTGGACACAAATTGTGTAAATTACGCTTTTGAGGCTTTGTGAAACAATAGTATTTATCCATTACATCCTACGGCACTATATCCCAACCCTCTCTCCAATCACATAAAAATTCCCACTATTTCTGCTCCTGTATGTCAGGAATTTTATACTATACCTACTATACTTTAAACAACCCTATATGGCAAGTAGTAGTTCCATGTTAAGAGGAAGAAACTGAGGCTCAGGGAAGGTAAACCGAGGTTAATGGTAGAACAACATTTGATTCCCAAATGAGCCTTTGCACCGTGCCATGCTGTTTCTACCCATATTCCAAAAGCAGCTGTCTGCTGGTAACAGGAAGCCTTAGTGAGTTTCCACCACACTTGGCCTGTGACCAAGTGACCATGGGCATCTTCACTTTCCAACACATCAGGGAATCAGAGAATTTGCAAGTAGAATTAAACCATTTCTTGTTCTGAAAGGATAATGTCATCTGTGATGTCAATTTGAACATTTAGAAAATAGAACCTTCCGCCGGGCGCGGTGGGCTCGTGCCTGTAATCCCAGTCTCGGAGAGGCCGAGGCAGGCAGATCACGAGGTCAGGAGATCGAGACCATCCTGGCTAACACGGTGAAACCCCGTCTACTAAAAATATGAAAAAATTAGCCGGGCATGGTGGCACATGCCTGTAGTCCCAGCTACTCGGGAGGCTGAGGCAGGAGAATCGCTTGAACCCAGGAGGCGGAGGTTGCCGTGAGCCGAGATGGCGCCACTGCACTCCAGCCTGGGTGACAGACAGAGCGATCTCAAAAAAAAAAAAAAAAGTAGAACCTTCAAGGATACATCAGAAGAGATCCCCTTTCTCCAGAAATGTTGACATTCAAGTACGTATCATTTCACAGTAAATGAGATGTATACCAGGAAAGAAGAATAGAGACTTTGCCTGGGGGAGTCTCTAGCTAGTTAGTAGACAGTTCAGTACCCTGGACACACAGCTTTTGGCCATGAGGGAATAGGTAAAGGAGATGGGTTCCTTCCAAGATCTTTGTCGTCTTCCATGGTGAAAGGTTGTTAGTTAAAATGGGTTTCTTTTTTTTCCCCAAATACTTTTTTATCTTTTTTTTTTTTTTGAGATAGAATCACACTCTGTTGCCCAGGCTGGAATGCAGTGGCACGATCATGGCTCACTGCAGCCTCTGCTGCCTAGGCTCAAGTGATCTTTCCACCTCAGGCTTCTGAGTAGCTGGGATTATAGGCACGCCACCACCATGCCCAGCTATTTTTTTTTTTTTTTTTTTTTTGTGGAGATGGGGGCTTTGCTGCATTGCCCAGGCTGGTCTCAAACTCCTAGGCTCAAATGATCTTGTCCACCTCGGCTTCCAAAAGTGCTAAGATTACAGGCATTAGACACCATGCCCAGCCCTCAAATACTATTTTTTTTTTATAATTCCAAAAGTGTGTATCTAAAGTATATATATTTATTTGTATGTATGTGTGTTTACATCTTGACAAAATGTAAAGAGTAGTTGAGGCAGCACATATAAAAAGCATCAATAAAATAGGAAGTTAACAGTTAATTTAAAAATTATATCCAAATCCTACATAGTGAAAACAAAGTAACAGAATACAGAGGCCTGAAAGAAAGTCCACGTGATCCTGTTTCATGCCCCTCACTCCTTAGCCCCTGCCCAGAGACACTTCCAAAAGTTTGTGCTTTTAGTTCTTCTGGTCAATGTCACTAAGTCTCTAAATAATATAGTTATTTCTTGTACTTTTATACTTTCATTTCTTATACTTTTATTTCTTGCTTCAAATAGGGCTTTTTAAAAGTGGAGAATCAGGGCAAAGAATAACAGAATAAAAAAAATTTTTCCTAAAGAGACAATCTATAATACTTTGCCCAGAATAAAGCACTGTATAGCTGTTAGGTAACATTGCAGAACAGAATAGAAAGCCCAGATATAAGGCTGTACACCTAAAGCCGTGTGATATTTGACATGTGTGGGTTTGGATCCAGCTCAGCCACCATGCCTGGGTGATTTGGGGACAGTTACTTGACCTTTCTGGACCTCGGTTTTCTCATCTGCATAATAGGAAAAATAAGACTGCCAACTCTAATGGCATCAGGAAGATAAGTCAATGTTGACACATTACTTAGCCCAACACCTGCTTCATAATTAGCAGTCAATAAAGGTTAGCTAAAGCATAAGAAGATTAAAGGCTCAGTTATAACCAGAAATGTATGCCTCAAAGGCACTGCCAAATTATTAGAGAGACACAAAAAAAGTCAACATTATCTTAATTTGTTATTTTTGCCTGAAGAGACAATCTATAATACTTTGCCCAGAATAAAGCACTATATAGCTGTTAGGTATCATTGCATGTATCTTCTTCCAACTTGTATATTATAATATTTAAATATTTTATTTATCTCATTATATGCAAAATGTCCTCAAATACTACCAGAGAAGTTCTATTCTATTGCTTCTGTAGCATCACTTATAAGTGAGAGCTAAACATTGAATACACATGAACATAAAGATGGCAACAACAGACACCGGGGACTACTAGAGGAGGGAAGAGGGGATGGGGGTCGATTGGGTACTATGTTCACTACCTGGGTGTCAGGATGAATCATACCCAAACCTCAGCATCATGCCATATACCCATGTAAAAAGCCTGCGTATGTACCCTCTGAGTCTTTTTCAAAAAATTGAAATTATAAAAAAGCAAAGGAAAAAAAGATCATAGAATAAAAAATATATGTATTATAAAAAATATTAAAAGGGCCTAACTGTATTTCTTTATATCCTGATTGTTGTGCTTTAGCTAAGAAATTGAAAGGAAGTTGTCATGCAAATTATCGTAGTTACTAAACTGGCCATGTTGAACAGAGAGAAAAGAAAGGGGAAGGAATGCAGTTATTATTTATTTATGGAAAGCTGATTTTTCTGGACTGATTACAATGCTAGAGACTTTTACATCTTATCTCTCGTAATCCACATATTGCTATGAGGCAGGTTATTTTTTTCCCTACTTATTTCTTTTTGTCTCTGTTTGTGTCCAATACCTTAAAAAGTGCTTGATACATACTCTCACTCAATAAATATTGGTCACCCAATAAATATTATTAAATAAAATACATTGAGATTCAGAGACGGCAACTAACTTGCCAGAATCGCACAGCTGTTAAGTTGTAGAGCCAGTGGGACAGCCTCGTGGGCCCATCTGACCCCATAAGCAGGGCTCTTTCCACTCCCTCTACCCTTGAGTAGTTCACATGATAACAATAGGACAGGCCTGGCTATTCATGCCCAACTATGCATGACTCGTAATTGAAGTCAGTTAAGGCTTCCAAGCCTCTGATTCCTTATACGAAAAATGGAGAAAATAATACTTTTCCCATGTATCGTCTATGGGGAGTGTAAGGGTTGCTGAGGCTTTTTAACATCCACAATCCCATTTTGTCCCCATGACAACCCTGAAAGGGTGGATATGAACACCAGTATAGAAATGGCGAAGGAAGATCTCGGTGAAGTATAAAGGCCCTAAAATTAAACTATTTTCTCTAAAGTAATAAACTATTATTATGATATATATAAATCCTCTTTCACCTTTTCTTGTCTAAAAAATAAAAGAGAAAATAGATGTTTGAATTTCTAGTGATCTCTACAAACAAGAAACCCAAGGAAAGAACTCCAGGAGGGCATATCCCGGTAGGGAAATTAGTTTCCTAACACCTCAGTTGGTCACCCATGGGTTAATCAGAGTTGGATGGTTTCTGATTCTGGCTCTTAGCCCTGTCAAATCTTCCCTTCTGATACATGAATAACATGAATCTGGCTGCATATGCAATTTATCAGCTCCATCCTGGCCAGGAAACCTTAGGAGAGCTTTTGCAAATGCACTGAAACCTGACTGTTTTCCAGCCTTTGTTCCAATTGTAATCAGTCTCCAGGATTTACTTCCAAATCAACACCACACCCTATCTGAAAAGGCCATCCCTTCGGTTTTTGTGAGCCAGTTTATAAAAGTGGCCAGCAGGTGTTTCTTTTTCATTCTCTTCCAAAAAGAATTCCCGGGCCCACCAATACCAGGTACCAAGGATTCTGCAGGTGGGAGGGTTCTCCTACAACTGCACCTCTGTAGGGGGAGGCAGGAGCTGGCCCAGGACTACCACAGTATTTGCTTCCTCTTGGGCAGCCAAGACCAGACTCAAGTGACCTCACCTGATAAGAGATTGCCAGGTAACTGTGGCGGGCATCCAGGTTTTCAATAAACTCCATGAGATTTCCTCCCGGTGTCCGTAGCATCCTGTCACAGCCAGACATCTTACAGAACTGAAAGAAGTATTCTCCAAAGAGTTTCAGGATGGCTTCCATGGAGACACCTGTAGAAACCAAAGTATAGCCCCTAAATAAATCCCCTGGGAGGTGTGTGTTGTCCTTTGCGTGGTCTTCATTTATTTCCAGAGGGTTCACATCCTGGCTGTGTGACACTATTGAGCTACTCTCTAAGCCGTCACTTGCCTCATCAGTAAAATGCCAATAACCACATTGATGTCATGGGGCCTTTGTGAGGAGCCCAGTGCAGCCTGGCACTGGGTAGGTGCTTGTAAAACATGAGTCTCCATGACAAATATTTCCTCAAAGTCAAGAAGGGGATGCAGAGATGCCATACCTGCTTAGCTGCTGAAGCCAGTACCCAGAACAAGCTTCACTCCGGGTGGGGAGGGCACGGCACTCCACGATCACCCCCAACACCTCCCACATCTTTAAATGTAACAGTCTCTAACAAGACTACAAGGATGTCTCTGAGAAATAACTAATACACAGTGAAAAACCTATGCCTTCAAGGCTATAGGATCCTGATTTACCACAAAGATGATACCAAATACTTGCAGTGACATTTCCTTTCTCTCTTGACCTCATCAGATCCTGGCCTCCCTGTGAGGCCCAGTGTTCACATTCTATTCTCCATAAAGATTTCTCTGAAAGGTCCAGGTCACACGGAATTCTCTCTTCCTAAATGTTGCATTTTTTTCTTCCTAATTCATGGTAATTCTGGAGAGAAGCAACCTGATCCTACATGTTTTCTGTGCTAAACACAGCGTAGGTGACTGATGAACACCTGGAGGTAGATTTGCGGCGTTAGCTGGGACTGCTGCTCACCTCCCCGCTCCCCTGGCTGCACTGTTGGAATAGACAGTGGGCAAGTGTCCACTTTATGGGAGAGACAGCAAACATTTTAAAAGAATATTTTATAGTTCTGACAACACACATTAATTATGGTTCTGTTACTCAATGTTTGCCCAGCTCTTATAAGGTAGCTAACCTTATTATCATGTCCTTTTTACAGCTGAGACTATGGGGGCTGAGTCATCTTTGTGAATTGACTCCAGTCACATAGAGTTGCAGAGGCCAGATTTGTTGAAGAGGCTCCAACTCTAAGTTCAGCGCTTTTTGTACCACATCCCCCAGCCTCTGAAGCAGCAATGAGAGAAGCAGGGAGTCTCCCCAAGGCAAGGGCTGCTTATACATTGGCATCATTGACACGGGAGAGAGGGCATCCATCCATGCTGCTGGTCTGGAGTTCCTGTGAGAAACGCCCTCTTATTTACAATGGGGCTGTGACACATGTAAGTCCTGGGGGCTGGGGCAAATGTCTGTACTGCCCAGGTTTATGGAAGGCCTGAAGAGCTCACCATCACCAGTATCTGTGGTTACATCCTTGAAAAACTCTATGATGCTCTGGCTGGATTTGAAATTCACAGCAAGGGACATTCCAGGTCTCATGAGCTATCCATGGCTAAATCCTACAGAGGACAGACCAAGGAGGTCTGAGCACTCTCCAGCCCCTGCTTGCTTCCTAGGATGGTCTGAAGAGCAGTTTCCCTACAGCTCATAATCCACAGCCAGACCATGGGGCAGATCATTGTTCTCTAATCTGAGCAGGATAGAGTCCCCACTGAATTGGTCTAGTTTTGTCAGAGATGAGTTGTACATATTTTCCAAGATGAGTTACACATATTTTCCAAAAATTGATTAGACCGATCTGAATGTAGACAAAGCTTGGGATGGTAAAGGAGCCAGTAGTAATGGCCTGTGTTAATTGCCTCCGTTGGATTCTTTGCTTGTGGGTGCATCCTGGCTGGCTGCAGGCTGGCTTATCTATACCAGTATTCAGGGGCCACCTGCTAACCCCTAGGGGATCTGAGACAAATTCTACCACGTTCCTTTCCAATGCTTGAGTCTCTGGGAGGAGAACTGCTAAAAGGTAAACAGACAGATGGGGAATTGTCCTTCTGCTCTCCTGCTTCCATCCCTCTGTTACCTTTAAATCTAGCTTATTCAGACTAAGAAAAAACAGCTGTGCTGTGCATCCTGGCGGCTGGAGCTCTGAGCAGGTGCATCCTGTTACCTGCCAGGAAAAGCAGGGGTCCCAGTGGGCCCCCTTCTCCCAAGAACCTCTGCCAGGAGGACTGGGCTGCCTGTAAGCCAAGCAAAGTTATATTCAAGTGAGAGTGGCAGCTTTGGGTAAAAGACTGCCTGTTTGACTTTTAAATCTTTAAACTTACAAAAATCCATGAAGCTGTTTGTTCCAGGCTCTGGTTATTTTGTTTGTGGATGACCAGCTCTGTTAACAGGAAAGGACATCTGGCTGAGAGAGGAACTGTTTCTGAAACAAGGATCTGGGGTTTGAGCGTGGTGTTTTCCACCTGTAATGGGTTTGGAGCTTTTTCTAGAATTATTAGTTGAGAATGCTTGTCCAGCAGAGAATAAAGCCCACTTTTTTAAAAAAATCAACACCTGTCTTAGTCTTTTATACAGTTTCACCTCAGTGTATTTAAGATTCTAAGAGCCTGCTAAGTCACAGATGATCCAAGATATATAAGAAATAGTTAGAAACTGCAAGAAAGAACTAAACTAAAGTGCCTTAAAATGTTTTTTGATAGTGCAGGGGACAATTTATGCTATGCTTAGTATTCTTTCATGTAAGAAAGAAGGGAAAACAAGGAAATAATCATCTATCTGCTTACTTGTGCAAAATTAAACACCTGAAGGATAAACCTGGATCTATTGAGATTGGTTACCTACAGGACATTGGTAGGGAATGGGGTGGAAAGATTAGAAAAATTGTGGAGTTGGGGAAAACGACATTTTTCTGAGCATAACTTTTTGAACAGTTCTGGTTTGGGGGGTCATGTTAATGTTTCATATGCTTAAAACAAATAAAATATAAGATCAACAAGGATAGAGAAAACCCCTAAGATGGAATACAAACAGAAACAAATTCACAGAACAGCATTTCAACAGAACAGTTTTGAATAACATAATTACCCAGGAAAAAAATTAACCCAGTAATATTTGAATATAGTATTTACACTACTGTGTCCTCAGGCCAAAAGCAAAAAGAACTTTAAACAAATATTTTACAGCAGTTAGTAGGCTTCCTTTTCACAGCAGTGTGGGTTAGCAATTCTGAAACTATGTTCTGAACAAGTAATACATTGTGGATAGTGGGAGCCAGGTTTTTCACTATCTGAGAACGAAGTTACAATTATGGAAAGGAGAAGACTAGAATGAACCCTGTGCCTCTGGATTAGAAAATCTAACATAATAAGACAATGAAATCTATCATGGTTTTAGATATATATATATCTAATATATTATGTATCTAATATGTTTATATATTTTATAAATTTTAGACATATAATATTATATAAAACATATATTATATGTATATATAGAGAGAGATGGATGTGTGTATGTGTGTATGTGTGTGTGTGTGGGTGGGTGTGTGTATATGACATCTATTTTCCAGCACTGTCCACTAAGAGGGCCTAAAAGCAGTGACACCCCAGTAGCAGTGGGGTTGCCTAACGTCTAGATCTTAGTTTTTAAATGCCCTTCTCCTGTAAAAGGAATCAGGGCCTTGGAGAAATGGCAGCTTCAAGGGCTGGGGCAGGGAAAGGATGAGATCAGCCCATAACATCTTGTTATGAAGAAGGTAAAGAAGTGATCAAAGAATAATGAGGACATGTCAAAAGGACACAGGGGCCAGTTTAGGGAGGCTGCACTGGCTAACTCTTGCAGAATTTGAGCATCAAAATAAATAATAAAAGGAAAGGATTACAGCCTGTTTTTAAAAAATAAGAATCACAAATCTACATTGAAATACGTAAATAAAAATATGGGGGAGAGGGGGAAATTCTTTCTTATAGAAACTCAATGAAAACAAAAGGAATAATATTTTAGAAAATTACTATTTGACTTCCATCATAAGTATCGATTCAGACAAAAATCACAAATAAATACTAAAATTATGAAAGAGGGAGTTTGAGAAATGACAAGATATCTGCATAATCTGAAAGTATCTTCTCACAAGATACTAATTACAAAGGGAAAAGGTAACTTTACAGTGGAGAAAGCTGGCAAATTCTAAGTAAATCAAGTGATCAAGGTTAGCCTCACTAATAATAGGACAGATCAATGCAATATGCCTCCTGATATGATAAACTGGGAAGGACAAAAGATCACGTCTGTGATCTTCCTGCCAAGAAATCATAACCTGAATTATATGATGAGGAATATCAGATAATCCTGAATTGAGGGACATTTTGCAAAATGTCTGACCAGAACTTTCCAAAGATACCAATTTTATAAAACATAAAGAGACTCAGAAACTGTTCCAAGCCAAAGAGTACTGAAGAGACATGATAACTGACATGATCCAGGATTTTCTTTTGCTCTGAAGGACATCATTGGGTCAATTGGAAAAATCTCAATAAGTTCTATAGATTAGATAATAGCACTATACCCATGTTCATTTCCTGAGTTTGATTGTTGTACTGTAGTTATTTAAGAGAATTTTTAAGGACAAAAAGGCACCACATTTGCAATATACTAACAATTTCAAGAAAAAAGTATAAATCTAGATATGAAGAGAAGGATAGACACTATATGGTAAAATGTCAACATTTGGGGAATATGGATAAAGACTACATGGGAATTCTTTGTACTATTCTTGTAAGCCTTTCGCAAGTTTGAAATTATGTCAAAGTAAAAAAGTTTCTGTTGATTGCTCTGAAAAGACCATAGAGAATCTTACATAATAAGACGATAAAGATCACGTTTATCCATGGCCAGCTGAAATACACCTGCAGCCCAGGCATCTGTAATGCTATGAATTTTGTTAGTTATAATCGGGGCATTATCAGTATATTTTTAATGTCTTTATCTTGTTAGAGACTCATACTGAAATATTTATGAATGAAATTGTGAGAAACCTGGTAATTGCTTTAAAATACTCCAGAAAAAATAAAACCAGAAAAAGAGTGGAGGAATCAAATAGATGAAATAAGATTGGCAAAATATTGTTAACTAGTGA